CTCATGGTCATCCTGCTGTTCACCAGCACCCTGGGTCCTTTCCAGCCACTCATCCCCAAGCCTGTAGCGCTGCATGGGGTTATTGTGACCAAAGTGCAGGACCCAGCACTTGGCCTTGTTGAACCTCACACAGTTGGCCTCAGCCCATTGATTCAGCCTATCCAGGTCCCTCTGCAGAGCCTTCCTCCCCTCAGGCAGACCAACACTCCCTCCCAACTCAGTGTCATCTGCAAACTTGCTGAGGGAGCACTCAATCCCCTCATCCAGATCATTGATAAAGATGTTAAACAGGACTGGTCCCAGAACAGAGCCCTGGGGAACACCACTTGTGACTGGTCACAACTCGATTTAGCTCCATTCTCCACAGCTCTCTGTGCTCGGCCATCCAGCCAGTTTTTGACCCAGCAAAGCATGTGTCCATCCAAGCCATTCCCAGCAGCTTCTCCAGGAGGATGCTGTGGGAGACGGTGTCGCAGGTCACCTCGTCATAAAAGGAGATAAGATCAGTCAAGGCTTTGGAGCCAGGCAGTTACTGACAAGCACCAGTGCCTTCCTCATGACCTCCAATAGCCAGAGGCTCTGGAACCAGCAAGCCCCAGGGCCCTGTGGCTACCCCAGACAACCACATCAGCCCCAGCTCAGTGGAACCAGTCAGGTGGGCATTCCTTATTGCTGCCAAAGTGGTACTAGAGCTCTAGGCTAGCATCTGAAGGATGCTGTTTTATTAGAAATCATTTAAGAATACTTCTCAAATCCTAGGATTGAAAAAACCATTACCATTAATTAAAAAAATACATTTTTAACTTAAATGCCCCAATGTAATAAAGGTTCCTTCACAATGAAATTCAGAGACCTGCTGATAGAGCAAGTGGAAAACATTGCACAGGTTCAGAGACACCCACATAAAGCAGAAGAGCTGCTAATTAAAGCACCTAATTTCACTTAAGCCCAAAGAGTCCTCTGCAAGAGGCTGCAAACCTCCACTACTGAAGTCACTACTACTTACCTTTCTAAAGAAGTTTTAAGTGGCATAGATTTAAGATGCTTTTCTTAAATATCAGTGATGTTAAACTCTGCAGAAGAGCATCCTGTACACATACAATATGCTCCTAGTCTGAGTATCTTCATTAGTCCACAGAAGACAGAAAGGAAAGCCTAAGCATGGCAAGACTGCACAACTACCATTAACTGCACTCCTAAATAAAAATCCTACTCTGCAGAGCCAAATAAGCCTGTCACCTAACACTAACCATATCTTCTGAGGGTTCATTGGTGACTGTATTATCCAGAAACTTAAATAACTACAAAGCAGCCTGATGTTGTATTTATTTCCTTTTTATTAGGTTTATTATGACTTAGAGTTTCTATTACTCCAGCTGGGTAAACCACATTTGAGAGTAAGTTTAACTGCAGGACTTCAGTTTCAGCCAAAATCATTTTTGCATTACTTTATTGTAATATAGATTTCAATTTAACATTTAAAACTTACTTCATTAATAAGCAAGCCAAGCTCAGTAGCTTCAGTGCAGGATGTACTTTATGTAACTTGCCACACATTCGTGTTAGATTTGATGTACATGAGAGACCCGTCAGTTATACGATTCATAGGAGAAAGCAAAAGTAAGCACCATTTTTACCAAGCTACACAGTTCTCAATTCGGTGTTTCTTACAGGAAATCAACTTGCTTCTGGCTCCCAGAGCTACAGTTCAGGTAATAGCCAAAAGCTATATCCAGAACATTAAATATTCTACGCTGGCACAAGAAATAGTCTTCAAAGCAATAAGTACTGGACCTTTTTTTATTTATTTTTTGTAAGAGACAACCTGTTCTTCTTCTGTTTACCAGGTGAATACATGCATTTTTGATCATTCTGGCAGAGGTTAACAAAGAGCAAACAACATTTGGGGCTGAACAAAAAAAATCAAAAAGTCGCCAAATACTTAAAGTACAAGCAAAAAAAACCATTAATGCAACCAGTTTAATATCTAAGCCTGCTTCCTTTCAAAGAAAAAATGGCACAAATTAAGTAAGAAGCCTGACAAATTTTGGTTTAGGTGGTACTAGATGGAATTAACACTTCAAAGCATTAACAGGATTTATTTCACTGCAAGGAAGGGGAGAAATAGTTTGAACAGGCTCTGTGTATTTGGGCTAGACCAGCAGCACTGTTACAGTTCAAGCCATATATGCAGAACTGATACCAATAGGATGTTACCTTTACCACACGTAATAGTAAAGTGTGTTAGAAGTTGCAGAGCATGAGCATCGTAGTTGTACAAGCCAGTTAATGAGTGAACAGAAGAGCTGAAGAATGGTTCTCATACATCCTCTCTTTTCAGGACTCCAGATTTTAATTCTGGAACAAAAAAAAAATCCCTCCGTGACAGCCTAATAAATATGAACAGGTCTATTTAGATACCATCTTCAAAATCTTTGTTGAAAATGCAGTCTCCAAATGAAAACTAGCTTTACGCAGTATTAATATTTTACATAAAATAAGTCTTATGAACCATGACCAGCAGTAACTGAAATTAATGTATACTGTGTCTTCAGGTGATGTGCAAGTTCAGCTGTGTAACACAGGTGGGGGCTGTTGAACAGTTTTTACCATTTTGCTTTGGAGAGTTCTTACACTTGTCCCACAAACTACAGAAATTTTAGCTACAGTATTGTGCAACTGTTGACATCTTCAATAGCTCTTCAAAGAAATCGGATGGAAGCACCACAAAGCAAGGAAACTGTGCTCTTAGTAAAGAGCCTTGAATTCTGAACACATTGCTGTCTCACCTTGACTACAGAACACCAATGAGAGGACATCAGGGTAAAATGGAGCAAAACTACAGTGAAGCCTGCTTCAAACAGGGAAGGTAGCATGAAAAAGATCTGACTCTACAAGCACATATGTAAGTCTTGAAGAGCTGTGTCTTAACAGGGAGCTCAAGGTGCCTTAACTTAGCTAGAACACCACAATTTTTTTAAGGATTGTGAATCTACCACAGCTGCATTTCATCCAAGAATCAGCCTATGCTTCCAGTTAAAGCATGCATACCACCTCTAAACACCCTTTCCCAACTTGCAGGTTTAGAGCTCTTTGTTTTCTTATTCCTGGTGTATTATCCCCTTCCTAGGCAGAGATTTAGAGGCCCTAGAAGTCAGAGCTCTCCACCAAAGATTTGCTGCATCTACATGCACAAACAGTCAAGACACTCTTTGAGACCATCACATATCATTCCCCACTCAAACAGATTTGCAGTAGATCAGTCTTGATCTCTGGTTCAGTTTTAATTATGCTTAAGTTATGGCAGCCAGAGTTCAATCCTATGAATGCAAGCTCAACATAAAAAGAAAGTCATTTATCCTTTTTAAATCATCCAGAGCTTTATGATCAACTTCCAGTTTTAAATTATTTTCTTAGCACTTCACAGAACTGCATGTCACTCTGTCCTGAAGGACATGGCATCACACAGAATCTTGTTTAAGTTAGTCCAAGTTTCCACAGGTGACCAGAAGTCTTACTTGTTAGAACATACTCCTTTTCCAACTGTTCCCCCTCATTCCCTCTCCTCCCACCCCTCCCCAGCAATGGGCAATTACTCCACAAGAAATGTAAAATGGGGTATGGGTGTACACAAAACCTACCCTTCACTAATACTGAACAGAAAAGACTATTTTTCCAATTACAGGACATCTTTCTCTAAATTTAGGTCAGCACTGGTGCTGTCTGCACTGGGTAAGATTACCACGAGGATAATACCAATAAGTACATATATTTTCTCAAACTGGTTTAAAAGTCTATGAAGTTAATCGGGGAGAAGTTTAATATTGCTACTTCAGAGCACTAAAACACACAAAGTGAATCCAAGAAAGATCCTTGTATTGAGTCAATATTAAGTATTAATTGCATGACCATCATAGCACCTCTTTACATTATCACAGTCACCAGAATTATCAACTGCTTTTAAAACTAAGAGGGTACAGTCCAATATTTATAACTTGCACACTGTTACTATATAGAAACTAGGTGCATGGTACAGTGCTGCAAAAACGGAAGCCTGCAGTTTTGACAAAGACGCAGTTGTAGACAATTTCAGTCAAACTGGCAATACTGTTTAATATTCAACACAGCAGGAAATAAAGGACAAAAAAAAGCATTCTGTAACCAAACAAACATCTGAAATTTCCTTTCCCTTTAAGAATACAAGTAAGGTCACTTTTAGCCTTGAACAGATACATGTTTGCCTATGATGATCTTGCTAACTACTACACAATATCTGATGTCCTCTGCTAAGAATATAGTTTAAGAAAGCTGCAGTTACAAGAGGCATCTAATGTAATATCTAAAACTTCCTTATGGCAATTATTGAATTTGTCTTAAACAGTGAATATGGAAAGATGGCCTCATGTTTCCTTTTCAATAGTACTCTGAGGATCAAGTGGCTTTCAAGCAGCATGGTGGGTTTGAAATTTTTGCAGTTTAGATCATTCTGTTGCGTTTATGAGTTGGTGAGTCTGTAAGGACATCGCCACACTGGGCTGAGGTACGCTTTCTAGTTCCACCATTGTCCAAGTGGAGTGCCATTTCTTCTGATATGAAAGTGTTCAAATCAACATCATGAAGTCCATTTCTCCTTCGACTAGCATTGGAGCCGCTGCTCACATGAGTAGGCGAGCCTGGAGTACTTGAGCGAACACTTATACTAGCCATTGCACCACTAAGACCTAGGGGAATAAAAAAAAGCATTAGGTCAAACAGCAAAGAAAGTTAACTTCCCACACATGGCAAAAGGAGTAACACTTATGGACTTCTAGTGATATGTTAAAGGCAAGCCATCCTATTATTTGTACCACACGTATTTCAAGTCCAGACCACACCTTCCCAGCTTTTAGTTCAGATATGAATCTGCCTATTACTAGAATTGTTCTTTATTACATTAAAAGTTGAGCTTACACACCAGACTAAGAGCACACTATGGCAAAGCTCCGCAAGCATGACATGCTATTCAAAATACATGTACAGACTATTCTAGATTGAATGCTTCAGACCAGACCAACAGTTACACAGAATGAAAAGCCCCCTACCAAGGGCTTTCCAGGTTGCCTTGATCTGGTCTTGTTTCAATGACCATCCCTGTCCCATTGCACCCCCTCAGCTGCCACAGTCCTGAAGAAAACTGCAGTACAACAGCAGATCTCAGACAGGTCTATACCACAGCTAGTGTTTAAATCAAAGTTATTTCATAGTTGCCACTAGTAGCCAACATGTCAGTATTACCAAAATTCAGAAGAGCAAATGAAAAATAAGCTAAACAATGAGAGTCCCCCAAAATCTGCTATTGGCAGATGTGATCCAAAACACTGTCAGAGGTAACCTGCAATCGCTTTGGTTTGTGTTCAGGTTATTAATAAAATGTTTAATTAAAACAGTTTACTTTTGGTAGAAACAAGGCTATAAACAAGAAAACCATGAGCCTCATACTACTGTCAACTTTTTTGCCTTCAGTACTGTTACTATTACAACTTTGCAAAAGCAGGACACTCCAAAACTTCAGTTCAGTAAGGGCTGGTACATGAAAGCCTAACAATTTTTCTCAATTTGTAATTCAGGCTACATCTGTAGATAAAGAGCTCAGAGGTAAGAAACATCTTTGCTATCATAATTCCTTCAAATCTGATTATTAGCAGCAAAGTACAAAACCATCTGCTGGCCCCAGAAATAAGCCACCAAAGCAAGAGTCACACAGAAAGATGAACAAAAGCAAAACAAGATCTACATCTGCCTGTTTTCTAGCAACAAGACCAGACAAATGTTAAGCTGTCCAGGAAGATAACAGTCTCTGTAACCTTCAAAATCTCAAGCTCTCACAGGTTCTCTTCTCCAGTCTTAAATACTCGACACCTTTGTCCAGCCATCGCACATCTTGTGAGTGCAGTCATTTAATACACAGCTTCACATACAGTCAAGTAGGCAGCCAGAAGTCACACACTGACAAGTAAAGCCTAACAAAGCCCTATCCATTAGCTGCTGATAGGCCAAACCAGCAGCTTCAGAGGCTCTGGGAAGACGGCTGTTTTAAAGACTACTTCAGTGACAAGACAATTCAGAGAAGGTTTGTTCCAGCACTCCCAGGATTAAGGTCAAACTGAAATGCAAAAAAATAGGAAAAGCAGTTCTGATACATCTACCAAAGAAAGTAAAGCTGCTAACTGGGTGACACAGGTGTACAAGCAAAAGGCCAATTCAGATACCACAACCTGGATAAACCACCAACGTGCAGAATTTGGGCAGGTAAATCACTTCACAATTCAAAGGCACCAGCAAGTTTAGTTTCAACTGGCACAACATACATTAGGAAAAACACCACATTAATTCGTCCTGTACGTTTAAACTGGAGAAAATTTAACAGCACACAGAAGATGACAACCTCAAATCCAAACTGACTGCAGAGATTCCCCTCCAATCACTATTCCAAGCGAAATTGCTCTGAACATGCATGTTCAGCATTATTACTTTCACTAAGTCAATTTACACCACTTAGTCATTTATTATACAGCCCCTGAGCAAGTGACCAATATGCTTATTCAGTTTTATCACGACATCTTTTCATCACACCTAGTGCCCAAGGAGACAAAGTATTTTAAATGAGCCTCAAAACTGACCTGTGATGTGAGAACAGTTTTCTGGCATCACTCAAGAACTGTATTTTTAAGTAGAGCCCTTTCAAGTAATAAGCATTTTTGAAATAGTAGATATAAATCAGAATTAAATGATGCATCTAAAATGCTGCAGCATATTCTAAAACAGACTGCCACGGTTTGCAAGCATTGCCTCAAGCAGGCATTGACTTTCCAATTTTTAGGCAATACTGAATCACTGTACATTTAAATATACAAAAAACCTTCAGTAGATAATCAAGTTAAAGTCTTCAATCAAACTTGGTGTCAAAGGCAGGAGAGTAGTTTTAAATTAGTTTCTACAAAGACAGGAGTACAAGGATACTGCATCACAAGAGGGACTTCTAGTTGCAGTTTAATCTCACATCCCATACAGGTGTTTAACACTGAACTAGTGAGTGACATTCTTTACTGAGCATGCTAACAGACCGAGTGATGATTTGGTGTCATTTACTGGCAGTTAACTGTATCACACAGCACTGCACATCAATCCAAGAAAGCAGAACTGTCAAACTAAACATTCAGATCACAGATGAGGACTGTATAATCAAGCTACTTGGAAAAATCAGAAAGAAAATTCAAGGCATGCACTGAAATATCAAGTTGCCACTTCATGGAAGCAACATCTTTGAAGAGTCCTGGTTTTTACTTGACAGAGAAAGCATCTTTGAGGATCTGAAACTGAACTGTGATCCACAAATAATTTTTTCTTGGGAAGCTGTTGTAATGCAAAGAGGAAGTCTCAGAAAACCCATTTATTGTGACTTCTTTTGAGTTTAAGTTTCCAGTGGACTCTGAGACCTCTTTCCAAAGCACTAAAGTAAGCAGTAACAGATACTAGACAGTAGTAAGATGACATGACTGTTAGCAACACCATTTCAAAACTCCAAATTTCTATATTGTGATTAACATGACCTAATCACAGGCACATCTGTTTTGCCTATACAGCAGGAGAGAGATGCAAACAGCTACAAGTGTCTTTACTACTCTCATGACCACCCCTCAAGTCTACCACAGGAGACACTTCTTTTATGAGAGGCCTTAAAGAAAAGACACATAGCTCCCTTTTTAAAACTTGACAGGATTGAAGAAGTGAAAAGCATATCTGAAATATTTTGCAGTACCAATTATATTCTCATCCCTGCCACATCTTTCAGTCAAGTCATCAACAATATGGCATTTCACAGCCCTCTGCTTCTATCTGAAGCTATATTCTAAAGCATTCAATAGAGAACAATTTGAAAAATTCCACTACAGAAAGAGCTGTGACCAACAGCAGCCCATCTATAACTAAGCACTCTCCAAAACTAACAAGTGATTAGAATGTTTGGCTAAAAAGTGTGTTTTATGGAGCATGAAAGAAGGTAAATAAAACTGTCAACTCAAAATCAGCAAGTTTACCAACACTGGCCTAAAACTGCTATGCCATTTTATCTGCACTATAACCATGTCCAAAATGAGCACGAGTTATTCAGGTCACTGCCACAACATGATATACTGGATACCTACTGCTCAGTATAGTAATAGTATTAGCTATTGTTTTCCAGAAGTTATAATCAGGAAGTATCAAAAAAGAACATTCACACTTAGACAAGTGTGACTAAAGCAGGAATTAGTTAATAGCCCCAGATAAACACAAAGTGACCTGAAGATCCTACATAGGTTTCAAAATCAAAATACAGTTGTGAGAAAGCCTTGTGATAGGAAAATAGTTTGCCAGATAGTTTAATCACAATTTATGTGAAATGAAATGCAGGAGAGATGTCAAGGAGGGGAGAAGCTGGAGGAACGCAGGCATTGTAGGCAACAACCTAAAACAGTTCTAAGGCCAAATACAAGCCTAGTCACTAGAGGATAAGCACAAAGCATCTGTGTCAGAGACCAGATTGAAACTGATATCAGGACAACCTAATCCAGAAGGTGACTGACATGTAATCTTGTCAGCCAGCTGATGAAGGGGAGGAGTGCATTTTGAGCCCCTGCACTGTCAGTAGAGCAGAGAACTTCCTATGGTCCACATGACCCTGTATGAGGTTATGAAATATGAAAGAAACTTTGTACTTCATGGTTCAGATTCCTATGACTTCCATAAACCACCTCTATACAGAGTAGATTCTAAGAAACACAAACAAGCCAGATTACCAATAAAAAAAAACCTCTGAGTTTAATCTGCTTGACAGCTCACTGCGCTCAAGTGAGCCTACCCAGCTTACTCGAGGGTGAGAGTATGCCTTCATAGTTAAAGACTACAGTTTCAGAACACAATTTGTTCAGAGGCCATTTATCACAACCTCAGGCAAGAGCCAGCTTCTACAGTCGTTCTCCTCATGAAATTAGCTTTACCTACTCAATATGCAATACTGATGTGCACAGAATTGTCTAGCCAGCTTCCAATATGAGCAAAAACTACATGACTGGGTGGAAGCATGCTCAATTTAAGGGGCAACAGCACAGCAAACACCACCAGAATTACACTGTCACCTAGACAGTAACAGTGTCTGGCTTATGTATCTTGAAAAACCACTACAGCACAAGAGAAGCAAAAACTGCATTTTCAGGAATCCACTCATCTAATTAACACATTAATTCCACCCCCCCCTTCAAGAATATTGAGATAGCAAAAATTTCATTGAAGTTGCACAGGGTATACTTCTAGATAACTTGGTTTTTTCACTTCTAGAACAGTCTACTAACACTTCAAGACATCTGCCACCCTTTAGAATTCTAGACAGCATAAAACACATGTGAACTGATTCATTTCTCCTCAGGATCAATTTAAAACATTCTTTATCACTTGCTAAGTAACAATCCAAAGCAAAATAAGCTAATTCATACTTGAAAAAGAGAAAGGACAGCCCACCATCATTGCTGGTGACTGCAAGGAATGAAGTTTGGTATAACACTGGAAGGCATTTAACACTGAAAGTGAACTGGAACCAAGTTCTCAGCAGGACTCAATTATTGCAATGATGTGCAAGCACAGTAGCCTTTCCAGGGTACTCCAAACAGAATGCTAAACCATATTACCCAGTGTTTAACAACAGAAGTATAGGGTGAGGTAAGGTACCCCAGACATCAAAGTTTCAGGCGTTAAATTCCCTCCCTAACCTTGCAGAAAACCGCTAGTTATTTTCTACTAGTCAAATCTTAATATTCAACTCATTGCTAGCATAGTGTTATCTTCCAAGAGTTCAGGAGAATGTCAAGTCTCCTCATGCTTCAAAAACATGATCCTAAGTTGATACCTAACTGCTGAGTTCACACCTGTAGAATATTGTAGATTCAAACCTCATTTTTATACAACACCTTTTCCTCATTCACAATATTTGACTACACAACTTTTTAGTAGCTGCATGCCTTATATATGCAAAAACTCCTTTAGAGAATTAAGGAGACATCTTCAGCTGGAAGATCAGGTACATGACATATTATAGCACCAACAATGGCCAAGAGCCAGACATGTTTTAAGAACCCCCACCCAATTTTAACCAAGTAATACTGAAAAAATTACTGTTACCGTGCAGAGCTATGGCTTCACGGAAGGGTTGCAAATCAGTCTCTACAGATGAGCTAGTTTCTGTTGAAGTAGCTCGGTTAGGGGATACTACAGTCAGTCTTGGGGGAGCTTTAGAATTTCTTGGAGGAGGAACTTTTCCACATAGGAAGCTGATCAAGTCTTCTCTACGAATAGTTCTTCTGCGTTTTTTAACCCAAGCTAACACATCCTTATTCCGACGCTGATAGCCAATCTGAATTCCTAAATCAAAGCTTCGCTGATGGGCATCCACACTCTCTGCAAGAAGACAGAAAAAAGTTCTCAGTAAGTGTTACAGATGGAGCAATGTATAGTATGGCACATCACTGCTACAGCTTCCTGTCAACCATGGGAAAGAAGTGTACATTCTGCATGTTATTGTACCACAGTACCAAGTTAGCTGTAATGAATTAGCTAGCACTGAAGAGGAGTCATATGAAACCTAAAGAGAGTATTAGCTAAAAGTTCCACCCACTTTACAAGTCAAAAAGTCAACAGCAATTCAAGCACCACCTAAATAGCATTTACTGTACTTCAAGTCAACACTACAGCACTGTTTACAAAACCATATCGCACTAATATTAAAAACATTGAGCTTGTCAGCCTGACAAGGGGACTTAAATCAACAGACAATGCACTTCAAGAGACACTCTCAAAGTGCATCAGTACAGTCAAGAAACCCCACAAAAACAAAAGGTGTAAATGCTTTTGATTCTGATGGGTAAGAGGCTTTCAGCAAACTCAGATTTCCTCAGAGTCCTTCTAGTTTCATCCAAATTTCAATTGCAGAGGCAATTCACAGGAGACCAGTTTTGAAACTAGTTAGAACACAAGTGTTCCCAACGCCTTTCAATTAGGCAACATACCATTTACAAAGAAAGTAAAAAAAATTTCCTTCCGTATTTAAGATCCCATTGCAAATTTTATATACAAAAGCTTTAAGCACATTATTTGCAATTAATCCTACTAAAAAATACAATTTCATTCTCCACTGCTGTAATTGGTCACCCGTGCACATCAGTTATAACTGCGCCTCCACAAAGTACTCTTAAATGCCTTATATTGCATTGCTTTCAAACTTCAGTAAGCACATTCCTGCCTCCTAGCTCAAGTAGGAGTAAATTTTAGACAACAGTAACAGGTAGGATAAACCATATTGACTACACAATTATGCTCACCTTGTTTGTGACAGATTTGTTATCAGAGCTTTGCTAACAGCTATTTCAGTTTTAGGAAGATCACTGCTATGCTAGCTCTTGCTCCATTAAAAGACTTCAGCATATCCACTCCAACTTCATTTTCTTGATTTCCATATTTGGGTTTTTTTTAAATCTGGCAGTCCTAATTAAAACACCTTTTTATATTCTTGCTTTACTAATGAAGTCCAATATAAGAGCCATTTGTCCACAACATTAAATTTAAGAAGAACTGTCCAAGATATTGACTTGCAGGTAAAGTGACATACATCAAATCTGGTTCTCACACAAAAATAAAAGAATAATCACTATTAAATGCTATTCCTAGATCTATATTCTATGGTACCACTGCATGGTCCACAAAAGACAGCACTAAAATCTACACTATCAGCAAGCAGCACTCCAGATATAAAACCACCCACCAAAACAACAAAAACACCTCAAACTCCTCATAGCTAAAGCTCAGGGCTTTCAGAATGTAAGCTACGTGGGCTCACATACAGTACATGTAACATGTTAGTTACTTTTATGGACTCAAGACTGTTTTGCCTACACAGCTCTGTAATCAAAAGGCCAGAAGATTCACAAATGCTAATTCCTGTGAAAGCAATGGCAACATGACAACTATTCCCCCAGCCATTTTATACACCACAGCAGCCAAGGCTCACAAGCAAAAGCAACCCAGACACTTTGGAGCTAGTTTGGAAACTGACAACATTCCTTTAATCACTTCCTGAAACACCACGAGAAAGTCCTCCTGAGAGGTGAGCAGTCCCACTCTGTGCCAATAACCTGCTTCCCTTGTGTACAGGAATGCTTTACAAAGGACTAACTAGGAACTAGTTATGAGATCAAGCACACTGACTGCTGGTGTAGCCCAGACAAATTTCAAGCACCATTACCCTGAGAAAGATTAGATTTTATTGTAAAAGCTACAACTACGTTGTTTACAAGGTCAAGCCGACAAAATATATGCAGTCAACTTGCATACATCCTGAAATTACTAAGTCAAAACATAACATCAAACAACATACAGTTTTGTTTAGAGGTTTTTTGGGTTTTTGTTTTTAATAAAAATAAGGTGAAGTGTAGGCTCAGACACCTTATTCTAATACATGTCAAAGACTTTCTACAGTGGCTTTGAGTTCTAAATTCTATTACATTACAAGTCATACCTTTACTTCTTCAGTACAATCTGGAAGATAATAAAGTGATTTTACATGAGGCCTCTATCACCAGCACCATTCAGAAACTCATGATCTAAGACCCTCACTGTGCAGTGTGGTATTGAACTTCTAACCTATCTTCAGAAAAAAATGCCGGCATTCAAGACATCACAGCATTCTCCTTATGCACTGTTCCTCACGTATCCCTTGTTAAAAGATTTTTGATGCCCCAAGACTCCAGACATTTATCAGATCAGAAGCCAGCTGACAGAGCAAGGGACAGTTCGTGGTGTTCAGTTTACCACATCAAGTATTTCTCCAATGTTTTGACAGAGTCCTCCAAAACACAAACATCACCAAGTATGTGATAAACAACAGGAGATTTTTAAAGAGTCACATATGGAAGGCAAATTCACATTAAGAGACCCCAACTTGCCTGGTATGCCAGTGCCTAAATGGTTCTACCTGTCTTCAGCACATTTCTGCCCACTTGGAAGTTAGTTTAAAGTTGAAAGATACCAGCCCTGAATAACAGATGTACTTCAGCACTTCTTAAAGATCTACTTTAAGGAAAGATTTGTTTCAGGTGCTGCTGTTTGAAGTATTATTACATTACACCTGACTAAAGGCAGCTTCCTACTTCACTTCTTTCCCTGATCACCACATACTCTTCTGCTAGTAACATTATTGCAGAAAATGCTGCTTATAGCACAGGTAATCAAGTTATTTAACCAAAAATAAACAGCCTAAGTTTTTGTAGTAAAGTAAGGAAGAGCAATGCCATTTGTAAAAACAAGACTAATTACTCTAGACAACACGACCTGCTGCTACACTGGCACCATGCTCCAGTGACTAGCATCCACATTCTAGTGACCCACTCTCTCAGGCCAGCACCTACCCTGTTATGATGTGCTGCCCCTTTACATGTCCACATCTGTCAGAAATCTGTTCAGCCATGACAAACAGGTTACTAAGTTCGACTGCTTAAAGCAAATTCAAAATGGGAAAACTGGAGACAAGTGAAAGAACATGTGGGTAAAACTACAGACAGTGTTGTACAGACCAAGAAAAAACCAAACACTGCACATCTACAAGGTCAGAAAAAAACAACAGTTTGGAACTTCAAAGTTCTTTCCATTCCTTCCTTGCAATGGAAGGCAGTAACAAGAATTACACTGTGCCAATCTAAGCCTCCAGTGATATGGACATAATCTTGTACAGTCTTTTAAACAAAGTAGAAACCACCGAATTATTCTTCTGCGGAGAAGAATTCTTGTGACAACCCAAAGAACAGCAGAGTTCAGAAACAGATCCTGACACACCAAGACACACAGTAAAACAGCACAAAAGCACAGCCACATGCAGAGTAGACTCTTATCAAAGTTCTGGCTAGCACTGCTTTCTTACAGCCATCTTGGACACAGCCATAATGACATTCTAGTGCTTAAAATAAACCGAGAGGCTTACTTAAGAAGCCTCACTGTCACAAGATGATAAAATTTTCTGTCACATAACATCTATGCAGAATTTTACAAACACTAAACCAAATCTATGCTTCACTGCAAAGGTACATGTACTATACAGATATCAAAACATGTAATATACCATGAAATACACAAAATGCAGGAAATTTAAATACTGTTTAACAAGCTATTGCACTCTTCCCTTGAATTCATGAGAGTGACCCACATATCAAAACCACCTTTTTTCAAGGGTCTTTAAGTAAAACAGCTTTTAGATTATTAGTCACCAACATGAGACAACAGAAAAGATTCAGCTACAGTCAGCTAAAGTGGCCCAGGGAAAACTTGCAAGATTCAGGAAGCAGTCTCGGGTTAGATTTTATCAGGGTGAATAAGAGACATTAACAGGCCCTGCTGATGAGTAAGCCGGGCAGCAGGCAGAGTGGGGCGGGCTGCCTGGGCAGCATGGGGGGGGCAGCCCCTTACCTTTGTAGAGGTTGGTGACCGCAGTGGCAGCGTTCTGGAAGGGGACCCAGAGGGAGAGCCCCGGCTGCTGGCACACCCGGTCTGCAGGGAGGGAAGGACACACGCTGTTTATTTTGGAGTCACCAACTACGAACGGCCATGTTAGGTTTCGCCATTTTGTTCCACCTTCCAAAGGCAACTCGGGATCAGGGCCGACAGGGGTG